TCACCAAATTACTCACGCTGGCTTTGAACCTTGTGAGTTCAGCCTTTGGAGTAGCTGGGATTACAGGCATGTGCTAGTATGTCTAGCCCTAAGAGAAACTCTTGAACCAAGGTTTGCTTCCTCCCCTATGGATGGTGCCGGTTGTAATTTTTATTAAAATGAAACAATCACTGTCACACAATTAATATTTATTGAGTGCTTATTTTGTGCCAGGTGCTTAAATAAACTATGTCAACTAACCCAGCAGTCTGAAGAGGAAAGCACTGTTATTCGTCTCATTTTACAGTTGACAGTTCCTAGGCACTGAGAAGTTGAGGTACCTACCTCAAACTTCCTGCATAGGAGAAGGAAGCTAGATGTTCCCCACTCAGCTTTGTGTGATGTAGGGGTCCTTCTCTGTGCAAACTAAATCAAATATATTCCCATTTTCTTTGTGAGGAGTTAGGGGCAGGGAACCTTGGAAGCCTCAGAACCTACGGAATAATTAAAGGGTCCCCAAGTGAAAGCTGAAAACAATATATTTTTAACAAAATGGGCAGTTACTCTAATTGCTGTGCCCCTACTGTTCAGTTCCTTTTTATGTCCTAATTCATTAAATTATGTGCACACACAGGCTTATTATTTACAGATGTATGCACTTTTAACTGGCTCATATGAAACAGATGTTTCATGAAAGGTAACAGAGAGCAAGTGATCTAAACCCTCCGTTAGTGGGTATCAAGTGAATATTATGGCCCATTACCTGCAGGTCTTTTGCTATTATTCTGAATTGCAATGTCCAGTGTATGGACGTGAATTCAATTTGTCCCCTGGAGGAACAAATAAAAATAAAACAGCCTTATAAGGGGACATCTGCATCTCAAAATAAGAGTGTATGCAGGTGATCAGCAGGTGGCATTCTCATGTGGGCTGAGGTGGAATTGTAAGGGAAATGTATAAGCAATTTGAGAAAAAACAGACTCCCTGCATGATGGGATGTGTGACTCATGAAGAAGTTCATCTTATGAGACCAGTGCTTCCTTGCCAGCTAGCTGTGGAAATGCTGTCTATCTCTTTTTCAAAGCAAAATGACATGGCCTAATAAAAAACATCACAACCTGCCTCATTGCCATACACTGGGTAATATATGTCAGTGGACAATTATTTTAAGACTTTGGCTACTAAGGTACAATAATAATTACCCCTCAAAGTCCACAGTGAGACTAATTGTTCATAAATTAACCAGCATTCTCTAAACAAACAAAAAATTAGAGCAAGAGAATGGCTGAAATTGTGTCATTTTGCACATTGAAAGCTGGAAACAGCCAAAGCTGAAATATAAAATGGAACATGAAATATTAAGTGACATATCAGGTTTATTGCATATATGACCATGAGAGTGCATTTTATTTTGTCTTATGGAGCTCTAAAAAGTCCATGTAATGGATTAAAGGTATTAAAACTCCCATATTCTGCCTGGCTCTAGGCCAGGGAACAAGGCATGATAAATAATCCCAACAGACAGAAAATGTAGGAAGGAATTTTAAAATGTATTTATAGTAGACATGTTGACCTCCCTAACTAATGAAAACACATACATGAGGTTGGTTTTGAAGAAAATATGTAACCCCTTACAACACACTATAGTGTTAGTATCTTTAAAATATCGCCCACATTTCTGTGACATATGGCTGCCATACTCTGTCTTCACCCTGAAAGTAAAGAAAAGCATACATTTTATAGTACAGTACCATGTGCTGTTACTGTAAGAAGATATGGCTTTATTTTCTTTTATCTTGAAGCACAAATCAGCAGTTTGAGCCAAGTCTGATGTGTAGCCTGGTTTTGTAAATAAAGTTTTATTGGAGCACACTACACATACTCATTCACATCCCAACTATGGCTGTTGTCACCCACAGTGACAGAGGTAAGTGTCTGTGGCATAGATTAGCTCACAAAGCATGAAATATTTACTTTCTGGCTCTGTGTTACAAAGTTTTCTGAAAACATTATAGGGCTTTGAGAAACAGAAGTGCTGGCTTTGTTCTTCATTTACAGTTATCTTATGAGTGGATTGAAGAGGCCAGTTCTGGCTCAAGCTGTTTGCTAACTATGTGACCTTGGCCAAGTCATTCAGCTTCTCTAAGCTTCATTTTCCTCGTGTGAAAAAGGGAAATTAAAACAACTGATCAAGATAGTAGTTCCTGCCCTATCACACTTGTCACAAGGGAGCAAGTGAGTGAAAACACAGCTAGGTCATCTGCCACCATAGGACATGTGGTGTTGGCAGATTTTCTGATTTGGCAGAAACTGTCTGTCACCTATTAGTTGATGTCTCATGTAAGAATTTCTATGCAGATTTCATTGCTTTTATTCATTTTTGAGATTAAAATTTATAGAGCCTCAGCTATGCAGTGGACTCTTTTTTAAGCCCTGGGTATTGAAAGGCAGGACAGCCAAAGCCTTTGTGTGTTCCCTATCAGGGCAGCCTGGGCATCCCTCAGATCCTGCCCCTCACTTGGGGCACCTAATATTTTTCACTTGTCTGTTGCCATGGTCAGGGAGCAGTATCTTCCAATTGCTGCAACCCAGCATTTATCCCAGACTCTGGCCTCTGCCAGGGGCTCCCTGTTTAGCAGCTGCATGGTACTGACTGATCATCAATGCCTTGTGTTCCCCTCCCTGCCCCAACTGGTTTGTCCAAAGGTTTGGGACTTGGGTTTGGAGCAGCTGTCTTGAATGAGAGGTCCTGGGTTAAAGAGATGTGTGAAGAAGCTTTTTCTAGGTTTCTTGGCAGGCAGCAGGACTGGGGACTGGGCAGGGATCCTATGAGGAGAAGGCTTTGGCCACACTTTGCATACATGCCTATGAGCCTGGGAAGGAAGGGCCAGACAGGACTGGAAGAAAGGAAGGCCAACATATCTTGCTTTTTTCATGTCAGCTTGTAGAGTGTCTTTTAGGCACATCAGAAAGGGAAACCATTTTGAGAGGAAAACTGGAAGTGAAGTTCAAAAACTTGAAAGGTGAAGACTAACAGGAAAAATACACAGCACTGAGATTCTTCAGCACAAGCCTGGTGCCATTCTGAAAGTGAGTCTGCTGTGGAACACTGCAGTGTGGGAGGCACTTTGCCTGGTGTTCTACATGATGTCATGTTTAATCCTCACAATGATCCTCTGAGCGACATGCTATTATTTCATACAAGCAGAAATCAAGGCTCAGAGATGTTAAGTAACTTGCTCAGAATCTCACAGCTAGTAAAACAGTGGCTTTCAGTCCAGGGAGGCTGGTTCCAGAGTTTATACTTCCAACCACATGCCTCAAACAGTTGTCTGTAGAGATGGACAAACTCCAGGAATATCCAAAGAAGACTCAAGTCTCAAGAATTGTTCACAGAGTATTGGTGAAAATTCCTTTTAATTATTTTTTCAAGTTTTCCGTAGCAGTTTTTTGTTTTTTAAGAAATAAAACTGAAGGACTTTGAAACTTTTTCCTATCAAGAGATCAGTTAGAAAAAACAAAAAAATTAACCGGCAGTGTCACAGCAGATTGACAGTGACATGGGATTAAACAACTCCATGGAAACTTGAGAATCTTTTAAATGAAAGATCAGCTAGTACATCCTTTCTATTATCCTACCCTATTATCCCGAGGTCCAGCAAAAACTGTTTTTATATTAGTCATCTAGAAAGCAAAGTGGAAATGTTCACCATTTTTCTATTTCTAGACACTCTTCCCACTCCATTCCTCTTGGGAAGAAAATAATTCCGCCCTTATTTGGGGCTTTTCTTGTCTTTTTTCTTTTCTCTGTGTGTGTATTTGTATGAGTGGTACTAGGGAATGAACTCAGAGCCTTCACACTGAACTACACCTTCAGTCATTTTAAAACTTTTTATTTTGAGACAGATTCTTGCTAAGTCAGTAAGGGGCCCAGGCTGGGCTCAAATTTGCAGTCCTTCAGCCTCAGCCTCTCAGAGTGCTGGGATTATAGGTATGTGCCACCATCCCAGCTTCTAATGTTGACAATGACAGAGAACACAGTTTTAAACTTCTGGATATCGTTTTCCTTCTTGTGCTGAATGAACTTTGGCTAAGGCCGTACATGTGGCCTTGAGGTAAGTGAGGACACTTCAGTCCACACAGAGCCTGGCAGTTGTGCAGGCTCCATTGGCCTTAGTGCTCCTCACAGTGCTCAGCCCCACGCCCTTGGAGCAGTGCCAGAGGCCTTTGGACCTAGGTCTAAGCCGATGCCCTGTCCCTGCTGGGGGCTGGTTTCTTGACAGGGAAGATGTAGGAGGGATGAGTGGGTGTGTTGTATGTGCCTTCTAATTCCTGTGTTTGCTTCTGGGGGACTTTCCTGCTTTATTGCCCTGACTGGAAAAAAAGGGGGGCACTATTTCTGTCTCCTTAATGTCTTTCTTTTGAGTGTTTCAGTTTTCCTTTTAGTCCTCATGTTGGTGTAATTATGTGCCTGTCTGTCTGACTTGGACATAATTCTCTATGTTCTGAAGCTTGCCGCCCAGAACAGCTGCTTGTGAAAGCTCTGGGCACTTGTGAGACAGATGCCATTGTCCTCTCTGCACTCTGGAATCTAAGAACAGTTAAGTTCAAATCCAAGCTCATCATTTACTAATGATGTAGCCTCAAGTAGGTTCCCTAGTCACCCTGTGTCTGTGGTTTCTTGCCTGTAAAAGAGGAATACATACTCAAAAATAGTTGTTTCATAGGGTCACTGTGGGAATCAAAGTAATGACTATATGTAAAATTCTGAGAGTGGAATGGGAGGTAATGAGCCCATAACAGATGCTTAAGTATTACCTGTGACTGTTGGGTGTGATGTTATTATTGGACTAAACTGTAGACATCTGTCCTTTTCTATGGTGATAATATTTGTCATATTGTTAAGATAGGGACTTACCCATTCTCCCCCAATACTCTAATACTAAAGTGTTATTCTTTTTTATGTCTTAAATTTTTTTTTTTTTTATAATTTGCAAAGTGTAAACCCTGCAGTGTGATATACCATGCTTGGCATCTAGCTTCCAGGTTAGAAGCTGGAGGATCAGGAAAGTTAAGTGACTGCTCCAAAGAGGCAGAACCAGGAACTGCATCTCTGCCTTCTGTCCTCTGGGATTGTGCAGGTTCTGCTTCCCCAGAGCTTCTGCGGGAGATTGTTTTCTGATGGCCCCTAACCTTTGTCTCAGTCTCCCTCGATCAGGAAGGCTGGTATCCTTACCCTAGATGAGGGTTTTTCAGCTTCAGCACTGTTTGTAATTTGGCACTGTTTGTTTATTGTGAGATGTTTTGTAGCATCCTGGCCTCTACCTACTTCATGACAGTAGCAGCCTTTACTTGTGACACGCAGAAATTTCTCCAGGTAGTACAAAGTAAGCATCCCTAAGGGGCAGAGTTGGTCCTAGCTAAGAAACCCTTCCCTAGATGAGGGAAGATGAAATTGTTTTTGAGGGGAAGGAGCAGAGAAGAGGGGAGAAAGGATGGTTAGTATCATTTATTGAGCACTTATTTTATGCAGGGAAAGTAGCAATCATTGTCTCCTCCTTGCTAACAATTTTAGTGTTACCTGAATAGGCAGGAAACACTAGGGCTCAACGAAGTAAAGAAAACTCTGTAGCCATTAAATCCATATGCAGCAGAACAGGGATTAAATCCAGATTCACCTGGCAGCAAAGTCCACAAACTTCCCATCACTTCCACAGAAAGCTTTTTCCAGTTCATGGTGTTTTCTTTCCTTGTAGGAACCAAAGAAGATTATCAACTCACTGTGTGAGGATTAAATTAGTTCCACAATTATTGTAGCCTGTTGATGTGGTGTACACCTATAAACAACAAAACAGAAAAGCCTCTTTGCAGCAAATTTATCAAACAAATCAGAGGATTACTTTTTAAATTTTTTTGGCATTATGTATTTGGTTTTGAGAAAGAGGGGTTTGGCTAAATTCTGGTGAAATCAGTTGTACTTGAACTTTCTTAGAACTCAGAGATGGGTCAAGGCATCTGATAAAGCATAATTTTCTTGTTGCCTTCCTTAAATATTTCTAAGTGGAATAATCTCTCCATTACTTTTCTATAAGGCTGATAACAGCCTCATTTTCAAATATATTTACAGTATATAAAGAATGTGTATTTGCAGTGATACAGGTTTTACTGCTCTTAATCCACTTTCCAAATGCAGGAAATTTGAACAGATAGAATAATGTCATTTATTAGTACCATATTGCTTTTTGAAAATTATGGGAATCTTGGTTAGAAGTGGGTTATGGAACTAAATCATTAGGTATTGAGATAAATTCTTCATGGGGGGACCTTAAATTCTGGTGCAATTAGCTTCATCTACACATGACTCCTGAGACCTATTCCCCCATTTGTTCCCTTAATGCAGTTCCCTTTCTGATGCCTCACAGTTCAGATCATTAATAAGCAGTTAGATGTGTTGTCCTGTTAAGTGATTTTAAGAGAGAATTTATTTCAACCCTGTCATAAGCTATCTTACTATGTCCTAGAAAACAGTGATATAAAACATCACACAAGACACCCTATGAGATGATTTTCAAATATGCTTCTTGAAGCAAGAACAAATATTATGAAAATTAAATGTAGGTGCTGAATGTATCATGGTCCATTGTGAAAATATGACAGCACTTCTCATGCTGAGCATCAGTGTTGAGAAGAGTACCTGTGGCAGGCAGGTGTAGCCACAAACCAGACTGATGAGTGGGCCCTGAGCTTCACTCCCTTTCTGAGGTCCAAACTATCTTATCAAATTTAACCACTACCTTGAATCAAATCAGTGTTTGGAAAAATCATAACCATAGATTAATAGAGAGTCATACAGTTCTACAGTTCTCAAACGAGCAAATAGTCCTAAGCAGACCAAATATGGTGACCTTTCTGGCCTAAAAAATAAATGAGAAGCCTGCCTTGCAAGTGCAAGGACCTGAGTTCGATCCCCGGTACCAAAAAAAAAAAAAAGAGAAACTGGGCATGGTGGCACATGCCTGCAATCCCAGCACTTGGGAGGCAAAGGCAGTAGTTTAAGGCCAACCTGGGCTACACAGTGAGTTCAAGGTCAGCCTGAAGAACAGACCAAGACCCTGTCTCAAAAAAAAAAAAGTCAGGCATGGTGGCACATGCCTGTAGTCCCGGAACTCTGGAAGGCTCGGCCTGGGCAATTTAGCAACTTAGCAAGACCTTGTGTCAAAATAAAGGGCCAGGGATCCTGGGAATATTGCTCAGTGTGTGAAGGCCCTGGGTTCAGTCTTTACGAATGAAAAAACGTGGGGGTGGATAGAAAATTAAAGTTAAAAAGCTTAAGTCTTAGTGAAATAATAGTAATATATATATATATATATATATGGGCCATTTGTGTTTTTGAATTTCCTTCTTCCAAAGGGTGGATGGAGTTGCTGTTCCCTCTTGTCCCGGGTTTTGAGGAGGAGCAAATGAGTTAATCTGCATTAAGCACTTAGCTGAACCTATGACGCATAGTAAGCACTCAGTAAATAGTACTTACTACTAGTTCAGGCTCTTCCTGTGCAGCTTTGAACACACTGCCAAGACAAAGCCACTGCCAAAATTCCGTGGGAGAGAAGGAAGCTTCTGGTTTATGGTGAACATAAACACAGCCTGAAGACCTTAATGTAGAAAGCACTTAACAAGGTGGAGTACATATTTAGTGAGGACCTGTGCAAAGGGAAGCTGAAGGAGTTCCCATGCCAAATCAACTCAGCAAAATGTTTGGGATTATAAGGTGGTTAGGCAATGAAAAGACATTTTCACGTTAGACTGTCTCAGACATCAATGTGTATAGGAATTTTGTTAAGAGGGGATTTTGTTAAGATGCCTGTTCTGATTCGGCATTTCTGGGGTGGGGCTGAGATTCTGCATTTTAACAATTTCCCAGAAGATGCTGACTCTCTTGGTCCAAGACCACACTTTGAAAAGCAAGGCTTTCTTTAAAGACTCCAAAATCAAAGTCTTCCTTCCAGCCCCTCCTTTCGTCCCCTGCCTGTGTTCAGCACCTGTTACATGTGTGGTCAGAATAGCAGGGATTCTCATAACCCAGCTCCAGCCCTCGGCCAGGAATCGTGGTGACCTGGGCAAACAAACACTTCTTCAGGGTCACGGCCAGGTTACGGAGTCAAGACTGCCAAGAGCCCCACAGTGATGTTTTTCTTCACTCTTGCTGGCTCCCTCCCTTTCTTGCCTGCCCCAAACCCGGGACTAATCTTGGAGGTGCTTAATAATAACAAAGCCAGCCACAGAGGCAGGACTGTTTCAAAGCAAAGCTTTTCTTGCATGGCAATTCCCTAATTTCAGAATGCGTTCACAGATTTACAAAGCCCATGTGTGTGAAGACAAACCTGCTGAAAGATGATTCAAAGCAGAGCCCCTTTCGAAGAGGTGACATAAAAATTAAATGAGCGAGTCTCCCTCCCCTTCCTTGAACGTTCGGAGGCATGTAAATGTCATTTTAATAAAATGTCTACACGCACACTCTTGCACGCATGCGCACACACAAGTAGCAGTGGAGAATCTGGTTCTAATTACTTGTACTTTAGTTGAACTTTGGCGCTTCCTTTGACTTTCTCCCTAATGTATATGAGCTGTGGGCTTTGCAGTCCTGCAGTGAGTCCACAGAAAAAAGGGGGGTGGCGAGAGCCCAGACCTGTTCGCTTTGGTGCCAACAAAAATGAAGCCCAACTGAACGTTTTGGCTAAACCCAACACTTTGCCATTCTCCATTAATTAGCTAAAATTACTCCCGCCCACTGGGATCCCAGAGCTCCAGGCTCAGAATTCCCCTGGGGCCATGCAGGAAATGCCTTTTGCTTTACAACTCCTTTTTCTTTTAAGGCTCAGCTGCTGGAGAGTGCATTAAAATGCTGTTTTAATCATGGAAGGTTCTAGTAAAAAGGCAGACTTTCATAATGCACAATGCCTGTCTGCCTGCCTGCCTGCCTCTAATCAGGCCCAACAAAAAATCCTGCAATCTGTCAACATGGGTTAGTCAGCTGTAAATTAGCTCTTACAAAGAAAAAAATATATATACTGAACTCTCCTAAAAATCTTATCTACTACTTAATCTAACCTTTACAAAAATCCCAAACATGTAAGGAATTGTGAAGGGGAGCTATTGTTGGAAATTTCTCTGTGTATTTAAATGACACTCAGGTGTGTTATAACAACAAGGCCATTTATACAGTGTTTTCTCAGGTGAGTTGAGTTCTTAGGTGCCAAGTTTTCTTATCAATGCTAATTTGGTGAGTTTTTTCTTTTCTTTGGGAAGGAAATCAACCCCTGAGTTGTGGCAGAGTTTACCAAAGCTGCATCCCTAGGAAGGCTGCTGTTCTGCTTTTCTAAGGTCCCAATCTGTGCAGATTTGGTTGGGCTTTGTTTTTGTTTTGTCTGCAAACAACCTCTGGGTGTTAAGTCCTTTCACAGCAGAGCTTTTCAAGGTTTGGTCCATGAATGGTACAGGTTCCTGAACTGCCTGTTGCCCATCTACAGATGAAGTACAGAAATGGAGAGCAAGTGTTTGGAAACTTCTATAGCAATCTGATAATTTTGTCAAATCTACTTTTAAAAAGTTGAAACTTGACCTTTGGACATCTTTGGTTTCCCCTAATTCTTTTTTTTCTTGAGTTTCATTTTTATTGGATTTCATCAATCTGTGAGGTGGTGAGGGGAAAAAAAATTATGAAATGACCTCTCGCCTTTGATAGTCTGAAAATCACTAATGTAAAGCCAATGCCCATCTCTCCTAGTAAGAATTCTGAGACTAGTCTTGACCACACTTTGAGGAGCACTGATTTAAAGGGGAGCAATTCTCATGACTAATTCTGCAAGAAAGATTATTGTATCCATGTTTTCCTCAGTGGCAGTCACTGAAAGTTGTGGGAGAGGAGAGGTTTAAAACATGGGCTGGAAGCTTCTGCCGGTGCAGTTTTGTTTCGTCCCAGGTTTCCTCTGGGCTGCGTCTCCCTGAGTCTCCCGGGCCTGTGCAGTATAGAGGAGCCCTCTCAGCATCTCCACTGCTGACTCTGCTCCGGTCAGGGACTCACAGAGCCACACAGCCATCTCAGCTGAGAAACAGAAGTCCCTTTGCCTTGGCTGTTCCCTGACAAAGCAGGGCAGCCCATCTGGTAGCAGTTTAGATGCCACGTTGGAGGCTGCTGCTTGTTGGGGGGGGGGGTGGTAAACAAAAGTCAATAAGTAAGCAAGGAAATAAATAAAAACAGGAAGCAAAAAGTAGATCCCAATTATTCCTTAAAGACTGTTTCCCCAAACTGAAATCGCATCAGGATGGCTGGGGTGCAGTTGTTTTATTGAATGACACAAGCCTTTTCTCCCCCTGGGAAGTCTAAAAACCGCTTTTTTGGCCTGCCTGAGATCGCTGAATGCGCTAATACAGAACACATTGTCTGCTGAGCCGGCAGAGTTTGCTAGCAAAAATTTTATCATTCCATAGACTGATTGTGCTTGCCTGGAATAGGGAACAAAATGTTTGAGGCCTCTCAAGGGCATTTGATGAATCTAACTCTAATTTAAAGGGACTAATAGATTATTGATTTAGCAGGATGACAGTGAACAGATCAATGGCCAAGCGCTCTGTATCTACCTTAAATAACAAAAATGCTCATTGAAAGGGGAGCCACAGGGTGCCTCCCCCACCTTGTTTCCCACTCTCTATTGGGGTAGGAGAGGACAGCAGGGAAGAGGAGCTCTAATAAACTTGACCGAAAATTTTTTTTGCAATATTACCTAAGAGGCAAGAGATTGCATTGAAGTACAGATCTTTGATCTTAATCCTATAGCCTGATTGTAATTCTAGAACTTGTCTTGGCATGTTTGCCTAAGGCCAGCCTTGGTGATCTGACTGTACCACGGAAATTTTCCTTTCTTTGTATTTTTTTGGTCTTCTGTTGTTCTCAACATTATAAAGGTTCATTTACCAAGTTGCAGAGTGAAACTGCACCTAAATATATGTGGCTAAATATTTAATTCTTTCCCACCAGTGGGAAAATTGTTCTGTAGGTCACTATTTCTTGTCCTATGTAAATTTTTTTCTGTTTCTGGGTGTGCTGCATTCACTGATAGAATTTATAGGATTCCAATCACAAAACACAATAGAAAGAACCAACTCATTCTTCGGAGCACAGCCGCAACACTTCCTCTTGAAGTCTTCCTGGACTTCTCCTGAGCTGAATAAGGTCTGTCCTTCTCTCTGTCCTCATATCAGTGGTTGACAAGCTTCTTCAGTTTGGATTGACCTGGGAATATTTTTTAGAAGCAGAATTCTTGGCTCCCATTCTCAGACATTGAGCAGTAGGCCTAAAAAGTTCCCCAAGTGGTTCTAATGTGCAGCCACATTTGGAAACCGCTGTATTATGTCCTAATTGTTGGTTTAATTCGACCAAACTTGTCAAGGATAAAAAAAAAGTACCATGCGTTTTCCATATGCATTTCCAGAGTATAAGCTCTGGACAAGTTAGTCACTTGGTGAAATCAGCAATCAAGACATTAACAGTCTGAGAATTTATTGGACTGACTGAAGGAAATCCATAGCTTTACTGATGAACTCACCATAGGGCAGGCTGGTTTGTTTTCTCTCTCTCTCTCTCTCTCTCTCTCTCTCTCTCTCTCTCTTTCTCTTTCTTTCTTTCTTTCTCTTTCTCTCTGCTATACAGTACAGGGTGGCCTTGAACTCCCTATGTAGCCCAGGCTGGCCTTGAATTTTTGTGATCCTCCTGCCTCAGCCTCTGCTTATAACAGAATATTTTCATTCCTCAGCCTCTGATTATAAGAGAATATTTTCATTCATGACATCTCCCTTCTGGATTCATTGATTTGTTACAAATGATTCTCATCCATAGAAAACGATTTTTACAAACCTTTGTAAAATATTCTGGGATTTTTGACATCCCATAGGCTTCTGCCTTTTTGTTTGTTTTACACCAAATTTCTTGAGTATTAAATTGCCTACAATTCTGTTTCCTCTCTTTGGGAGGATGAAATGCTGGACTTTTTTCAGCGCCTGTATTTGAAGTGGCATATTTATGGAAATTACCACCCACTTTTGAAATTCAGGGCATAGTTCTGACAGCTGAATCCAGCCCTACCAAAATTCTATTTACAACTTTCCTAGACAAGCCAGATTAGCTGCTCTATACAAGTGAATAGAACATTAAAACACACTTTTACACACACACACACACACACACCTGCTCTGTGAAGAATACACTGTAGGACTGGTGACAGTGATAGCAGCATGGCTCTGTCAGAACTGTTGACCTACACAAATCAAACCAATTCAAAAGATCTGGGGGGCACATAGGGAACAGAGGAGTGTAACCTGACAGCCTTTCCAGAAGCCAGTTTATCAACATGAATTAAAAACTAACAAAGTATCTTTGAAATAACATTGCTTTTCAAATAATAATTCCACTTCTTAGTATTTATACTAAGGAAATAGTTGGAGATGTGCTGAGATTGGCCGCACAAATGTTCATCACAATGGAATGTTTTGCAGGCAGGATACTTATTGACAAGGAAATAAATCCATGACTTTGTTAACTGGACAGCATCCTGATCTCAGTATAATTCCACCTTTGTAAACAAAAACATTTATAACCAGAGAAAAAATCCTGGCAGGACATATACGGAGATGATCACAGTGTGTTTCTCTGAATGAAAGGATTGTAGGTGATTTTTGTTATCTTGGATTTTAACAAAGACTGATAACACCGTTTTGTAATTTTAACAAGTAATGTTTGCTTGTTAATGTCATTATTCCTCGTTCCCTTTCAGTGAAGCTGATTAGTTCAGTGTGAGGGGTGCTTTTTGAATTTACAACTCAGTAGCTGTAGCTGATAAACTTCAGTAACATGTCAGAAGCCAAACCTTGTGTACAACCCTTGGCACTGCTGTGCGACATAGCACACTTGCCATGATATCTAGAGTCAGGCCTTCTGTTTACTGCAAGAAATATACAGTCCAGGTTGATGTCTTTATCACAAAGCCTTGGATCTCACCAGTAAAGATCATCACAGATTTATCTGCTAGGACCTGCACTGTACTAACGAATTCATTCCAAGATTCTCCTGAATTATGAAAATACTATAATTATAGTTGATTCTGTTCCAAAGGACTAATTAATTGCTTTTTAAAGAAGGTGAATGAGTATAAGAGAGCTATTTGATTTCTAATTTTATCACTTAACTACTTACAGGAGCACTTAGTGCTTGAAATAAGGAAGGAATATGAAAAAGTTCATGAATCAATTCAACAAATATTTACTGGTTACCTGCTGTATGTCAGGACGTCTTCTAGTCCTGGAACACACTTGTAAACAGTGCAGGTAGGTTTCTTGGGCTCATGAAATCCACAGAGTGTGGACAGTGACAGATATAAAACCTCAACTTGCATGCAGATCAACTTTATAGGACAAGTCACTGCCCTCAGAGTTTTTCTCTTAAGAGTAAATTGGTGATAAAAAGCATCACCTTCACTGTGCTGTGGTGAACTTCAAATTAGTGAGATGTGTGAGATTGCTTTGTAAACCATACAGCACCATGTGGATGTCAATATTGTCGCCGCTGTGCTCACAATGACAACTGTTTCTATGGGCATATCCCTGCTAGTGTTACTGCTGAAATTGGAGCAAAGGCATATGAAATCAATGATTGGAAAATAAAGGAACTGAAATACATTTTCTCCCCTTTCCCAATCTCCATTGCAGCGATTGAAACACAGAGCACCAGCTCTGAGGAGCTCGTGCCAAGCCCACCGTCTCCACTGCCTCCCCCACGAGTGTACAAGCCCTGCTTCGTGTGCCAGGACAAATCATCAGGATACCACTATGGGGTCAGTGCCTGTGAGGGATGTAAGGTGAGTACCACACTGCTGTGCCTCAGTAGCTCATCGTCCATGTGTTCACAAGAGGTCGTCTAGCCAGCTCCACAAGTGGGCAGCTTTGACATCTGTCATATCACCCCCAGTGGTGGACAGAATCCTTATATTATTTTACTTTAAAATTTTGCATGGTCTACAAGTGACTGATTGGAGCCAATGATTCTAGGACCATTGAAATACCCCCACATCGCAGTTCATTTTAGATAATAAGGACCTTTTGAAAGAATCCTGAAAAACATCATCCTGTTTCTCTTTAGAACATGCCATCTGGTGTCTTTCTAGTTTTATTTTATTTTTAAACATGACTGACAGTTCACCGAATCAACTAGCAGACAATCCAAGGTTGAAATTGGGATTTATCTCCTGGCTGCTTCCTTAGCCGTGTGGCCTTTGAATTAGCGTTTGATTTTCAGCCTCTGGGGACTTGCTACTGTATGTGTGTCATAATTTCAGGGAAGTTGGATTTAAAGTTTCTGCCAGCTGAGTACTGGAGGCTAAATATGTGTCAGAGAGGATATGGCTGCTTTGAATCAAGCTAGACAATTGTTACCAAGTCTAACAGGCCTAATTGAGTCAAAGAGCTTCTTGTGTTTTTTAAGAAAGGGGGAAAAAACCCACCAAAGAATGACTCATAGGCAAATTCATCTCATCCATAAAAAATTTCTCAGAGGAACTATGGCTGTCTTGAGGTAGCCCTTCCCTAGATATGTATAACTTCTTTTAAGTTCTCTCTGGATGGTTCTTCAGCCCTGTTGTTTGTACATCAGAATTGTATGATTCACATGTAATTTTGAACAGGTCGGAATAAGCATGTGCTTTATGGCATGTTTGTATTTGCTTTATCAGGACTAGCACTTTCTGTATGTATTGACTAGGAATTGTTTGATTGTTTAAGACAGTAGTCCTTTATTTAACTTCCAGTTCCCTGGGTCTTTAGTTTTGACCAGACTCATCTGTATAGTTTGTCTGGTCCTACCTGTGCTCTACTGTGTGTCTTTGGTCTGCTACATGTTAGCAAATCAGTGAGTTAAAAGTTGCCGAACACTTTTTTCATGTATTTGTGAGGTATTGTTCTTCTTCTGAGAAGTGTCTATTCATTTCAATTGCCTATTTTTTGATTGGGTCTTTTATTTGGGGGGGGGTCTATTTTTTTTCAAGTTCTTTATATATTCCTAGATATTAGTTCTCTGTCTGGTGAATAGCTGTCAAAATTTTTTTCCATTCTGTAAGTTGTCTCTTAATTCTGCTGGTTGTTTCCTTTGCTGTGCAGAAGCTTTTTAATTTGATATGATCTCATTTATAGATTCTTGATGTTATTTCTTGTGCATTTGGGTTTCTGTTCAGAAAGTCTTTGCCTACACCTATGTCTTCAATAGTTTTACCTATTTTATCTTCTAGCACTTTGTTTCTGTTTTAACATTTGGATATTTGATCCATTTTCATTTTAGTTTAGTATACAGTGAGAGATATGGGTCTAGTCATTCTTCTGCAGGTAGATAGCCAGTTTTCTCAGCATCATTTTTTAAAGAACCTATCTTTCCTTTCCTGTGTATTTTTGGTTCCTTTGTCAAAGATCAGATAGCGGAATGTGCCTGGACTTGTTTCTGCATCTTTATTCTGTTTCATTGATCTACATGTTTGTTTTTATGCCAGGAACATGCTATTTTTATCACTGTAGCTTTGGAATATAATTTGAAATCCAGGATTGTGATACCTCCTGTTGTATTCTTATTGCCCAGGTTTGCTTTTGCTATTCTGAGTCCCTTCTGGTTCCATATGAACTTTAGGATTGTTTTCTCTAGTTCTGTGAGGAATGCTATTGGTATTTTTATTGGAATTTCATTAAACAGGGGATATCTTTCCATTTTCAGATGTCCTCTTTGATCTTTTTCAAAGTACTATAGTTTTCCTTGCAGGGGTCTTTCACTTCCATGGTTAGGTTATATTGGCCAAAGCAAGTCTTAAGGTTAGTCTAGGAAGAAATCTTAGTGGGAAGAGCTCTACAGTCATATTATCAAGGGAATTAACTTAAGAGAAGGAAAATGCAGGTCATTTTTACATTTAGTCTATGACCGTGCACATCTAAGGCTTATAACTCAAGTGGGTGGGGACTCTAGCTCTATTGCCCAGCCCCTTGTACAGCCTGGCATGCAATGGATGCTTAACAATGTAGGTATAAGGTAAGGCTAGTTTGGAGAAATTTATTGAAGACTTAGGAACACTTCTCTTCCTCTGGGATTGTGAGGGTTATTTTAAAGCAATTCTTTTTCCTCCAGTAACTTTTGACATGGTAATTAGGAGAGTTATACGGGAAACCAATTTGCACTGGCTAAAAAGTAAAATATTTATAGATTTAATTATTATTTTATTAATGGTAACCATTAGCTGAGTGTAGTTACATTTCTCCTGAAATTTGGGAAGGCTTCAGTAGAATACTAGTTCATTTTGTCTGTTTGTTGTGTAACATATACATAAATCATTGGCTGATGTTCATTTGAAAGCTGACTGAAAAGATATTCCTTTATTTGTAAAAATTTTTAAGTAGTCTCATTTACAGAAATCTGGATGCGGTATGTTATAATTCAGCTTACCTGCTCCCATGATCTCTTTGGGAAAGAAATTAGCACCTTTTTTGTAGTGGCAGATTCTAGGCCCTTACATATTGTACTGTCTGTTCAGTACAAACTGTTCTAATCAGCCTGCAGTCAGCTAATTCTCTGACTTCTTGTTTTAATTTTGGATTCTGACTCTTTTTAGGAAAAACCCCAACAAAAACAAGACTCATACCAGCACAAACTTTGATAAACTTGGTTAAAACTGTTTAGAGTCATAGGATGGTGTGTCTTTTTAATGGAACATAACCCAGCCAGGTCAGATGAGTTCTCCAGCCAGATGCTGAATTTGATCATTTGTATGTTGTGTGTGGGCCTATGGCTACACAGACTGCTTTTCCTCCTGGTGGTGGACAAAAACTTGGTCCACATCTTAATTTGCTGGAAAAATAGAAAAAACTCACAGAACTAAAAAACATGGAAAGGGCAACAGGTAAAAAGAAATACAACTTTTGAAAAATAAAATGTAATTTTATTAGTTTGTCTTTTTTTTTTGTAGTGGGGATCGAACTCGGGCCCTTGCGCTTGCGCAGCAGGCAGCAAAACCACTGAGCTAAATCCCCGGCCCTTATTAGTTATTTTTTAAATTACCAATACAGTGAGGATTTTAATATATACAAATAGAAAATGAAAACAATCCTGGTTTGTTCCTTAGTAAAGAACCCATGCTAAAACTCAACTCTTAACATGATTTTTAAATGTAATAATATTGTATGAATAAAATTTTTAAATAGCTACATAGTTTTTATTAATGTAAGTAATAGTTTTACTTAATATAATATAATTTATTCATCTAATTTCTATTGTTATACAATTAGGATGTTTAGTATAGCCTTTAAGTCTATTGTAGATAGTTTTCTTAGGATAAGTTAGCTGAACTGGACTCTCTAAGTCAATGGCTTTGTACATTTTTTTATGCAAATTTTTTTTGATACAAATAGCTACAATGACTTTGTAAAAATATGCATCAGTTTATGCTCTGTTAGTCTGTAAAAAGTTGATTCTATTAGAGAGTACCTATTTGGAATCTCACCTTTATGATAGTAAGGTCATGGATTGAGAAGGGACTTCTCTTTAGGAATTCTACTTATATTTAATTTAATGTTTACAATGGGCCACATGTATGATATCATTTTGTGGTACCAGCAAATCCATAACGGTTCCTGGTTGTCAAATAGATGCTGGCTCAACCTTTGTCTGAAAATCCATGGTCAGTCCTCTGGGGTAACAGCCTCTGCTCCAAAGTAAGACTGCTAAACAGAACCTAGAATATAACTTGGAGAAGTAATGCCTGTCCTAGCCAGGATAGCTTTATTGACCATTATTTGGGAATGAGAACCTTCCATCTTCCTAGGGACCAGATGGCAGTCTGAGCCACTGCTACCAACATGAGATGATCAGAATTTAACGGGTGGGTTGTGGTTCACCTCTGGGGATGGTCAGTGGCTGCAGTATTGACACAACATCACCATGGCAACCTAACCACTAGACACACCCTCGGGATGTCCCATTTAGGGGATTTCCAGTTCATTGATGGCAGTTCTTTGTAGGGCACAAAGAGTATATAAAGTGAATATGTGGTGTGTCAGCCAAGATGGTTTTGCAATATAAAATCATAAAACAATATTAAATGTAAAATCATAGAATGATATAAAATAATGTTTCTTTAGGAAACTTTCTCATCTCTCATAACCAAAATTTATGCACAATATTTGGCCTTAGTCATACTTTATAATTCCTTTTTTTAAAAGTTTTCAAAGAATGTAGAGTCTAGAGTGAGAATATTAGGAATTCAATCCTGTCTAGGCTACTTCCTAGCTTGATGAACTTGAACGAGCATTTAAAATTTTCTTTCTTTTCTCATCTGATAAAATGGAGATTATGCCATGTATATCCTCATATTGTTGTGAGCATAATTTGAATCACTATGTTAAAATCACTCTGTGTAGAATCATGTCTGGCATTAGTGGTATACATGCTTATTGTTTGTATTGTCACTAACTGATAAGTGAGGTAACATCATTTCTAATCTTAGTACTCATCTCCTAATGTTTCTTCAGCATTTCCTCATTCCTTAGATCCAAAATAAACACTACCTCTTTCCTTCAAGACTCAGTTTAAGACCCAACCAAACCTCCCAGATTACTGGAGAGCAGAGGTTGGTAAATTGTTTCTGGAAAGAATCATATGGTAAATTATTTTAGGTTGTAAGAGTCATATGTCCTCTGCCATAAAACCTGTGCTATGGTAGCATGAAAGGAGTCATGGATAACATGTAAAAAATGAGTATGGCTGTGTTACACAAAACTTTATTTATAAAAATAAGAACTCCACCAGATTTAACCCTCAGGCCATAGTTCCCTTACCCTTGCCATAGTGCATGGTGATATATTCCTTCTCACAGTTTTTAAGCATTCATTCCAAAGTTAGCAGGCCGGGTGGTTTTAACAGGCTGTAGACTTGTGATAGCTTCACTCCCTGCCATATACATATAAACACATTGAAAAAATAGTTGATGTCCATATGTCATGGATCTAAGACTAGATAGCTTCAAGTCTACTCTCCTCGTGTGATCATTCCCTCATTTATATTCAATTTCTGCTTCTTCATCATCCAAAGTAAGAGAAATTAATAATCTTGTTGTGACAGCTACTTCTAGAAACACTTGGCATCCTGCTTTGACAAAATTTTTAGAATGAACCCTTTAAGCTGCTGTATCAGCTTTTTCTGCTTAACATATAACCTAAATGTTTATTGACTTCTAACAGTGGACATCTATTACTCATTACAATTCTGGACAGGTCTTCTTGCTTTCACCAGCTGGACTTGGATAGATGTGATCAGATGGCCTCACTCACATCACTTGATGTGATGCCTGAATCTTCTTCCCAAGCTGTTGCTCACCATCGTCCTTGCCTGGGCTTGTCTACATGGTGGGAGACATGTTCCCATCAGAGAGAGGGCAACCATACTAATGATTTCCACCTTCTGCTTGCAGCACATTTGCTAATGTCCTATTAACCAATCCAATTACACACATAAGCCTAGATTCAATAGATGGAAAAATAAACTGCCTATCTTACCTACTAAAAGGAGAAGTAGCAAAGCCATCTTGCAGAAAGGTGAGCCTACCAGAGCTGTCATGTGCTTATAAACTGTCTTCTGTTGTTCCCTAGGTTCACAGGAAAGTATTTTTTGATAGCTCTTTGGCATTGAGTTATTCTTTAGTTCAGGTTACATGGCATATGCCTGGTGCTAGAGATATAGCAATAAACAACATAAAGTTCCTGGTGGAACTTTCTGTTTCACACAAAGGACAGATGGTAATACAAAGTTGGAAGAAAATAAAGTTGTCTGATAAAGAATAATTGAAGGATACTTAATTTGATAGGAGTCAAATGGGATCTTATAGCCAAGAAGGAAGCAGCTAGGTAGATAACAGAAGGAAGCATTTTAGGTCACACTTAGAATTTTGGGCTATTCCTGCCTCTCCTGATTATGACCATTGATTTTTTTGGAGGCCTTAGCATATCTGTAAAGTGAATACAAACCCCCAAGTGGGATCCCAGCCCTATGCCAAATGAATGCAAACAGAGCAGCCAGTAGTTACACTGATTTCTTGTTAGGAATGGCTTATGTGGCATTATAGTCCTCTGTGTTTCCAGGCCAAGGCCATGGAGTAGGGGGAAGAAGAAAACTGCACTTGTTGAATATTTTCTGTACCCCAGGTAGTGGGCATCTTACAGCCATAGCTCATTTAATTCCAATAGCAGCTCTACAGGGTAGGCTTTCAGTCCCACATTTTATAAAGTAAGAAGCCGAGGTTCAGAAAGGGTAAGGAACTTGGTCAAGGGCACATGACTAGTCTGTGCTAGAGCTGGGATTGAAATCTGTACCTGTTATAAAACACCTCACTGCTTTAGTTGCACTAAAACAGAAAGTAGGAAGCCATAGTATGTTGTTGTCAAGACTGAGGATTTCATGAGACATTAAATTAAAAGACAAAATAGGTAGGGCATTCTTAAAATACCCTATCGTATTGATCATTTCATAAAATAAATTATATTTTTTCCAATAAAAAAGAGCTTACAAGACATTCTTTCCCTAGAAAATATAGTTAGCCGGCAGGACCCACATACAGGTACACTCACTACCAAATGATGCTTTGTTCCATTTTCTTCACTTTGCCATTGATTAGTGGAAACTTTCCATCTGTAAGCCAGCCTTGGAGAGCCACGATTAACCCATGCTGCAGAAGCCCCAGGCAAGGCCCCAGCACCACAGTGGTACATCTTCTGCAGGAGGGAACAGAGAAAAATGCTTGCTGAAGGTCTTATTGGTAGCCATCTATTTAAAGCAGCCTTGAAGGATTCAAACTCCACTAACCTCCTTGGTCCCTCGGGCTAATTCTGTTCATTTTCTCATCTGCCTTTGTTTTCCTGTCCTCTGAAGAGAGCACTGCCCTCATCTCCATGGTAGTGTACAGCTTCTGGGCTGGGTTTTCCTGGCAGACAGCAAGTAGAATGTTAGTTACAAAAAGTTTTGCAATCAGGCAGATGAATGTTTGCACTTAATTTTAAAACTTCTATTAAATGCTATAAATGTGCTTAGGGATTTTGTTTGACCAAAGCCATTTAATACTGTATTTTTAATTGGCATGGTAATAAGCACATGAACATTATGTTCTATTTGAGAATAGTTTTAGCTTTCCTCACCCTGATAGCTGCTTCTGTTTAGGAGTTTGATACAGCATTGTGCCTCAAGAATATAACTTTGTTAGAGACAATAACAAAAGCAGGGCAATGTCTGTATGTTAAACTTGATTATGAAGTCTGCCCTTATCTTCATTATTATAGTACTTGAATCACACTGAGGAGGTCCCCCATAAATCCTCAAGTTGGCCATCAATGGAGAATGGATTTAGTCTCACATTTATCAGATATATATTAAGTACCTTCTGTGAGGCAGGCTCTAAGATATAGAAATTTAAAGTTTTGGGGTATTTTGCTCCCAGTGTTATGTCTCAGTGACAAAAAGTACAAAAAACAGTGCCTATCAAGAATAGATTCATAGTAAACACTTGCTGATGGAATGGATGAAAGAATAAATGAATGAGCAAGAAACAAGCAATAACGTATGACCCAGGCTGTGAAGTTGGTGGACACTGAGAAGGAACCTTGGGGTTGCTTTGACATATTTGGGAAGTGTTTTGTAGAGAAGATAATTTTCTTACTGTGTAAGCATTTTCTAGATGAGGAAGTGAGGAGAAGGCAAAAATTGAAGGCAGAGGTAGAAGGTAAGAGAAATAGCCTATGAAAAAATTATGTGACAGGATGGGAAGTCCCCTCTGTTAATATTAATTTGTATAACCCTATATATCCCAGTAGGGAGATACACTAAAGACATTCAAAAGGACCCATTGTCATCTCAAAGAAGTCTTTTTCTGGAACCCCAGGGTAGGTCCCTTTCTCTATTTTTTTTTGTTATTATTAACCTTTTTTGTGTGTATGTATCAGCTTTCCCATTGCTGGTACAAAATACCTGACATACACAATTTAAAGGAGAAAAGGTTTATTTTGGCTCAGGTTTCAGAGGGTTCAGTTCATAGTCAGTTAGCTCCCAGTCAGAAACATCTTACTTGAGGAGCCTGGCAGAAAAAAGCTGCTCACCTGATGGTGGCTCGGAGTAGAGAAGAGAGCAAGAAGAGCTAGAGAGAGACACAGAGACATCCTTCAAAGACCCATCTCCAGTGTCTTAATTATTTTTCTCATTGCTAAGGCAAAATACCCAGTACCCCAAATTAAGTGAGAAAAGGTTTATTGTAGCTCATAGTTTGTAAAGGTTTTAGTTCATAGTTGGCTGGCTCCAAGGCAGGATGGCGTGGTAGAGAGAAATAGTTCACAGTGGGCACAAGGCAGCAAAGCAACAGAGTAGTGAAGAAGCAGCAAGTGACAAGCAGCAACACCAACAGCCCTATTTCTGTCCCTTATATCCTATCCAGGCTACCTTCCCCTAGAGTGAGTAGCACTCACACCCAGGGTGGGGCGCCCTTAATTCTAGCATCACACCATGAATCAATCCCAACATCACATACTTAATCCCAGCATCACATCCTCTAGATCCAGCCACCTCCAACAAGTTCCACCTATGACAGCATGAAGGTTTGGGGGTACATCTAGATATAAGCCATAATACACAGTGACTTCAACTAGACCCCATCTCCTAACAGCACTCTGAACTCATGAGTGGATTAATCCATTGATGAATAATACATCTCCAAAATTCAATCACCCTCAATAGCTCCAACCCTCAACATGAGACTTTAGGGACATTTTAGATTTAAATTATAACACCTTTCTAGCATTTATCGTAATTGAAATTAAGTTGTTTTCAAATTGTTTGTTTAATATCAGCCTCCAACAGATTGTAAACTCCATGTGGGCTGTGACTGTTTCTTCTTTTCACAACTTGATTAAAAATGAGTAGCACAGTGTTAGTGACACATAGTAGGGCCTCAATGAATATTTTTAAATCATAAATTACATTTAATTATATAGTAATATAGTTATAAAATAAGTGTAATAAATCAAATATAATTATATGATACATACAAAAATATAACTGCATGCATTTTATCCAACTAGATAATGAATTATACCTAATTATATAAGCTTGCAATGATATGTTCATGTAAACTTTTGTGAAATTTTATAAACAGGACAAGGCCTTTGGTGGCCCAAATCCAGCACATTTTCTTAATAATTTCTGTCTTCCAACTCAGAGTTAACTCTTCACTGTGAAAAATGTGTTCTCTTTGATAATCTTCAAACAAACCCTTAAGAACCAACAGCTAGAATAAGAGCACTATGGACTCTTAGTGTTTTAAATAATAGAAAAATCTCAACATATAGTATCTACCTCCTTATCCAGGAACATCAAGACAGCTGGAATAACAGTAGCTCTTCTAGTGGTAGTTCCTATAGAGAGAAAATGCTTTTTATTTTAAATTGAGAATTCACTTTGGGTTGAAAAAGCAAAGCAATCTATCTTTTTCCTCCTCCTAGTATATGAATAAACAGGAATTAAAGGGTAAATTCTGAATTAGTCTGCAACATTGTATTTTTTTTCATATTGGCTGGGTAAAGTTTATTTAATTTGGCGATTTTAAGTGGTTTATAATTGTTTTAATAGTTAAGTGTTCAGGAATGCTAGTTTAAATGTATACTTGTTTGTTATTTGAAAATATCCAGATCACTTTCAGTTGGTGTTTTTGTCATATAAAACAAACTAAAGATTTACAGTTTTAGTGAATGTTTTTGCCTTTGTCATCTAGTAGAGGAAGAATTCCCAACATTCTAGTTAACCCATCAGTCTGAAAATGCCTTGCTTTTCAATGAAGTCTTTACTGTCTGCTTTGTAAAGATTTTGGTCAATTAAAAAAAATCACCAAAACTCAGTACTTCATCTAAAACTGCACAATAATCATATATTAAAAATGCACCTACCTAAAAAAAAATAAACTTTTTAGATTATTTTTGTTACAGAAATGAAACTTTATTGTTGAGCTTTCCCGAGAGTGATATAAATTCTGATTAAAAATCATTTGTTTCAACAAAATTTATATTTTTATAGACAATAATTTAGTCATTTGGGGAAGAAAAATGTTCCTTTTCTTTCTGACCCTTTTACTAGGGCGGTAAATAGAGTTTTCCATTCCATTTTCCTTTCTCCTAAGTGGATTTGTAAAGAGATAATAGGAAATGCAATCATCTGGGAAGGTCTTCCTGTTTAATTAGTCCCTGGCACCTTTTCATCAGGGCAGAGCTGTAAGTCCTTGGTCTTCGCAGTCTCCACAGTTGCCTCTGCTCCCATCTGTCACCAGTATAAAAACCACAGAGTCAATGAAAATATCTTACATTTCTATAGTATTTCTATAGCACTGTCACGTATAGAATAAAATTTGGGTAGGCTTAGCTGAAAAAAAAAATATATACTCCAGAGAATTTCTTTCTTATGAAACAGTTTAAGGCACATGTTCCTGGTTAGAAGCCTTCTTTCTTCCATACGGTGACATGAAACTCAGGCCCCATCCATTGTGATAGCTTAGCATCAGCTCTTTCCTTAGTATCATCTAGTTACTGTCATGGGTAAGAGAGCCTGGAGGAGGGAGCTTATCTGCTTCTTAAAAGTTGGCCCTGGAATGCCACACATCATTGGCTATAACTGTTTACATGACCAAAACACCTGCAAGGGGACTGGGAGATGCTGTCTAGCCATGAACCTAGGTGTGGACCTCTTATGGACAGAAATAATGAGATGTGCTTGAGAGCTAACAGTTTCTGCCATAGGTTGGTTGGTTTTAAAAATTCTCATCATATTAGATAGGTGGAATAAGTTATTTTCTACTTTCATTTCATAGATGAGAAATTAATAGCTAATAAGACAAAGTTTTACCATCTGTGACCTTGATTTCTCATCTGATTTTGTTACTGAAATAGTTACCGCAAAAAACTTGGTTATATTTCGGTGCTTACTTTTTGCCTGAAACTCATCAAATTCTCTCATTGTAAGTATCTCCATATTCCTAGTATATTCTACTTTGCCATTTTTTAGAGACTATGAAAGCCTTAGAGTTAAACCTTTATCAAGGGTTAGATTCCAATCTAAAGCCACCAAGCAAAAATCACATATAGACAAAATGATCCCAGGAAATCCTTTTGGAGAGTAAAGTTGAAAACTGTCATTTCTGTCATGGGACCTAGAAAGCCAGTTCTTCTGCTAGCCTTAGAAACAGCTTGCTGTTCTTTCCACAAAGCACCAGATGAACTAGTTATTTTCTTTCTGTCCTTATGTTATGACAAATGTGTCCTTCACACAAATTGTACTACCACAACACAACAGTCATGTCATGAAAAATCTCACATCCTTCTAGATGCTTCTTTGTTACTGAGTTTAGCCTAACAAAATTGTGTCTTTGGGCTCAGAATTTCTCTTACACTTTTTTGAATTGTGTCTTTCATTGTTCAGTATTTTTCCACTTCAGAAAAAAAGACTAGATGTGTTATGTGGATAAGAAACACAAAATTGGAAAAAATTTTGTCCTGTGCACCATAGAGCTCACGGGAAAAATCTAGAGAGGAATAATAATCTGTGTGTATCTCCTGCCTGTACAATGCTTGCATTGTCTGGGGTGAAAAGGAAAAGCTGGGGTTCTGGCAGGCCTGCCCCATTAGAGTGTTGTTCCTTGTTCCATATTGAAAAGATGACATTCCTTTGCTTGCATCGTCCTGCCTGGATTGCTGGCACCAGTTCTGTGGCCAGCACTGTTGCCTGGGGCATTTTTGTTTGGGTTGGTTTTGTTTTATTTCAAAAGCAGCAAAGTGAGGACTGCGTAAATGTACAAGGTAGAACTGTTTTTACAAAGCTTGTCATCAAAGTTGTCAGTACAGTCAAGGTGGCCTGTCTGCCAGGGTGTCTACTTCCTGTTCACTAGTGTCAAAATGCAAGAAAGCAAATATAGTAAATTTAACTTCTTAACTTGTTCTC